GGGAGAGAGGGAGGGAGGGAGGCGATATGAGATGCAGAAGAGCAGGCGTCTTGCTGGCGAAGGCCTGGGTTCGGGGAGCTGTGCCTTGAGTAGGTGGGGGGACACCAGAGACTCGGCTAGCGTTAATTCAGGCAGAATCATTTCAGCACTTCTCCAGGTCATTCAGCGAAAGCGTATAAGTGCTTCTGACCTGCTGGTGTGGCAGTGTCAGTACTGGCAGCTGCATCAGTGTGGGAGAAACGGAGAAGTTAGGCAACAGGATCACTGGAGCAAATCAAACTAACCGAAGTGCCCTCTAGAAACGGGCAGCCAAGAGCCTTCAGGGGGGTGATCACCCCCTCCATTGGGAATTCACACTCCTTCCAGCTGGGAGACACCTGTGTCCCCAGGTGTGACAGAACCGGACACCACGAATCTTTCCTTCCCTCTACAAGCTCACTCTCAAACAGCCAGCTCTTTTCTACTGGCGTCTTTCGTTGGCGATGTTTTCGCTGTCTGTCTTGGCTGTACTGTTGTGCGCTGTACAGCAGAGTTCTTTGCTGGGGATAATACAGCTTGAATTCAGTTTAAAGGAACATGAAGTTCCACACATACAGGCACCACACATTGGAACCAACCACAGAATTGTCGACCCGGGAGTTTCTTCTTTCGGCTCGGTCATTGTGGAATATAGTTTTGTCAGTTATTTGCCAATATCGCTACTAAACCGAGCAGTAAACGCTTAATGCCAGACCTTTATAACAAAAACTACATTTCCTATCCTTCACTGCGCGTTTGGCTGGATGGAAAAAAGACCGATGGGAGTTGTAGGCATCAGCAGCATAAAAAACTACAAATTATGTCACATGACGAGAGGACCCGGAAGAATGTGTGTAGCTACAGTAATAATAATAACAGTCCAGAGAGTTGAGGGGGATGGGCCGAGGCTGTGAATAAGTTTTGAATCGTGAAGGATAGCTAAAAATATTAAGACAACATCAGGCGGCCTGGCTTTTCCTCCGGCCCGGCCTCCTCTCGGAAAACACGCACTTTTCTGCTACATATCTGGATTAGCGGTTACGGTTTAGAGAGAGAGATACACACGCCGAAAAAGGGGGAAAAACGTTTCGAAGAAGAAAAAGCAACTAGAAACCTCATGTTCTCTTTCCAAATGGACAAAGACTGTTTCCTGCCGACCGCTGTCACCGTAAGTAGGAGTCGCTGGGCTCAGAGGTTCCGCCCGAACCGGCCACAGAGCAGAACCCTCCCAAACAGAACCGAGATGCTTTTTAGCTTCGTCCCCACTCAGAAAAATGGGAAAAACAGCTCAGTTTCACTCGGGGCTCGGCGGAGGGGAGGCTCTGAGCCATCTTGTGACGGCCGCGGCTGTCGGGGCGGGGAACATCTGGCCGCAGTGGCGGCGCTGCCCGGCTCGGCTCCCAGCGGCGCCAGCCTGCGGACCGTTCGGTACCGGACCGGCTCGGCCCGGCGTGTGGGCGGCCGGCGGGCGAGCCTGAGATGAGAGTCCCTCTCTCTCTCGGGCCGGGTGTGACTTTGCGTCAGGAGCTCGCCAGAGAAGGAGAGATGATGATAATAATAATAATAATAATAATAATAATAATAATAATAATAATACGACAGCTGTCCTGTTGGCCCGTCTGTCAGCATTGCTGCCTCTCAGCGCTGGGGCCAGCTGGGCTCCTGGGGTGCTGTGTGTGTGGAGTTTGTATGTTCTCCCTT